ATGTATAGGGAGCTCAGGTGGCGTAGTGCCTAAGGCACTTGACTACTAACCAGAAGGCTGGCGGTTCAAACCCACCAGCCACTCCTCAAAAGGAAGGTTGGGCAATCTGCTTCCCTGGTGATACCGCCTCGGCAACCCAAGGAGGGGTCGCTAGGAGTTGGGTCCAACTCAACGGCACGCAACAACAACAATAAGCTAATAATTGATTCATGTATTTTGTGTTAGATTCTTTGAACTTTATTTGCATTGATATGCTTAGAATATAATATATCAGTTCTTCTTCTTCTTAGCTTATGATTGTTATTAGCTATAAAAACAAAACTCACTGCCATTGAGTCAATTCTGACTCACAGCAACCTCTCCTGGGTTTCTGAGGCAGTAAATCTTTACAGAAGTAGATTGCACAGTCTTCCTTCCACAGAGTGGCTGGTGGGTTTGAACCACCAACCTTCTGGTTAGCAGTCAAATGCCGTAGACACTGCGCTACCAGAGCTCCGTTATTAGCTATAAATCCCACAATTTAGCTGATGTGAAATGTAGTTACTGTGCCTTCTCTGAAAGTGGTTTATTATTTTTATTATTTTATGTTGAAAAAACTGATATAAATGTCCTATATGATGGGTTTGCATTGTTCACTACATGTAGATCCTTTTAGTTGGACGTTTTTGATTGACACTGTTTAGATACTGCAAGCCATTCATTAAATATGCTATTTTCTTTATAGTATAATAAACCGTCAATATTTTGTCAAATAAAATTGTTCTATGTGTTACAAAAATGTCCACATAGATATTGAGTAGTCCTGAAAGGATATACAAAGTTTATTCTGGGAAAAGGACCAGGGTCTGAGCTGCAATGGAAGCTGAATTTCTATGATATTATTGTACAGTCCAAAGGTTTCACTACATGTATACATTACTGGTTCAATTTAAATACAGGGTCATGATGAGTCAGAATCGACTCAAAGGGTTTGGTTTTTATGCTAGTTACTATGGAAAAAAGAAAAAGAAAGTAAATAACAAAAGACATTGTGCCATCCAGATCACTCCCAGCACTTCTGGCCTATTGGTTCTTATCCACTCACATCTGCATGGCCTACTATGGCCAGGGAGGTAGAAGGCCCCTTTCTTCTACTAGACCACAAACAATCTGGGGGAAGGATCTTCAGCTGAGCCATCTTATATCCTCCAAGGGCCAGCACAGTACCCTGCCCACAGCTGGCCACAGAAGGCACGTACTTCCCCTTGGCCTGTCTCAGCAAGGCCTACTGCCTCAGGGCTGCCCCTGCCAGACTGCTCCATGACATAAACCAGGACAACATATGGAGAGTAGGAAGAGGAGAAATGCCCACTGGGACTCACAGTTTAAAGCAGAGCTTCTCACACTTCAAAGTGCACAATAATCCCTTGGGTATCCTGTTAAAATGTAGCTTCTGATTCAACAGGTTTAGAGTGAGACCCAGGATTCTGAATTTCCAGTAAGCTCCCAAGTGATGCTGATGCTGCTGGTCCTTGGACCACACATTGAGTAGCAAAGGCTCAGAATACCCTCTCAGACCAGAATTTAAATCTTAAGCAGAGAGATAAATACCCACAGTGGCTGTGACATTGTGAGTAGCACTATACACTTCTCTTCCCCTCCCCAGCACTTGTGGATGCTCCCTGACCATCTATAGTCTCCCAAAGGTCAGGAGGGAAAAGATGGCAGAGATAGTAACCATTTCAGGGTTAGAAAAATAACCCTGAGGACTGAAGGTCTACCTGACTTTGTCATCCTAGAGATAATGTTAAATAGGGGCTGGCCCCAGAAACCTAAGGCCAGACTTATCGCCCCATAGGAAACATACCAAACAGCTGTGTGGCTCTCATCCGAGTACAGCTAACACAAGGACCAAGCCCTGGACATTCACTTATGTTGCCAACAAGTGCCTTTGAGAGCCTCCTAGGTACAGGTGTAGGGGAGGCACAATGATGCAGTGTCCAAATGAAATCATAGGGGCCCCTTCTGGAAGGCTGTGTTTTCAAGGTATATTTAATGGAAGGGGTCTGAAAAGGCCCTCCCCTAGAGCACAGAACTTGTCTTGATTTTATAAAGACAAATGGACCCAAGATCATTGGTTCCACTTGTTGGATGGAGAGAATGTGGCCCTGAAGGGATCAGGGACTTGTCTGAGGTCCCACTGCCAGGGAAGTCTAGGGCAATGTGGCCCTGCAGGCAACACCAATGCAGCCCTCCCATGTGGACATTGGAATGGCAGTGCCCACTGCTCTGTACTTAGACCAGTGGCCCTGCCCTTTTGTGACACCAGAGCCTTGGCAGGCTAGACAGGCCTGAGTGTGCCCTGCACACCATGCAGGCTGCCTGCCACCTGCCCAGGTCTCTCCACCTGACTTGGCTTGACTGCCTGGTTCAAGCAGACACTCCAGATCTGAGGACACAGACTCTGAGAAAGCCTGACTCCTTCCAGTGGCAATATGGGAATCCCAAATCATGAGGTGGTGGGCATCTCAGAGAAGGGAGAACCTCTGCTGAAAGGCCTGTGTGCATACCAATCCTCTGGGGCTCTTAATGAGGATGCAAGAACCAAAGGTGTTCAGCCAAATGCAAGGATTAAAAAACATGTATCTGAGGGGGAAAGCAGGGAAGGTACAATTCTGTTTCTGAGAATGTCTCTGGGGAGATAACCACAGAGCATCTCAGCTGCCTGCCAGCCAGCCACGGCCTGGCGGAGGTGGGACAGCAGCCCTCAGCCCACTTCCAAGGAGTCTTGGGCCTCAGACAATCTACTTACCAGCTTGGATGGCCAGGAAGTTGTATAGCTCGTGCAGCTGCTCCAGCAAGGCTGCTTTCTGCTTGGCCTGACAGAACTGAAAAGGCACAGGACAACTGGTCAGCAAGGGTGCAGTGGGTCTGTCTGCTTTGTGAGTCAATTTTACATCCCCAGCTATATTGTCAAGTACTAGAAGCAAGGAGCACCTCATACTTCTGAAAAATAGATACAAATTCTGCAAAATGCTGTGCCCTGGGAGAAGGTCGATAAGTACTAGGTGAATGGACTGAATGGAGGCAGAGCTGAAAGCAGACGCAGTAAGTAAGGAAACTAAGGATCTGTCAGCCCCAAGTCTCCCTGGCTCCCCTTGGAATAAAAGCCATCAAATGGGGCTGTGGAGCAGAGGCCATGTGGTTGTGTAGAAACCCAGCTTCCAGGAAGGCAGGAGCAAATGCCATTGGAGCTTGGAGGGGACAGGGCAGAACGTTATGACTGAGGTGTTACTTCCTTCTCAGGCTGGCCATTCTTGTCCATTTTTGGAGAATCAAGTATCTACAATCCACCTGTGGATTATCCACATTGTGGATCATTTGCTGCAAATGTTTAACCTTAGACAATTTCCCTAGAGATGAAAATTTCTAGAAATCTTGAAACTCTAAGGGGAAAAAGATTCATCTGTATGAAAATATAGGAATCTGTGCACACCTATTCCTCTAGCACCTGTAACAGAGTTTACATCACTTTGCAGGTTTTAGCACATTAAAAGAAAGGTTGCTCTCAGAGGAAGGACAGTCAGGAACAGAAAAAGGATATGGAATGTATGGCTAATTGCCTCTATCAACAAGTTCCTCCTTTGCTACGAGCCTAGAAGAACTGGATGGTGCCTGGGTACCATTTCTCAACATTTTGATCGAAGATTCTATAGAAGAATCCTGATCAACAGAGGCAAAATGCAGAACAGATTTTCAAATTCTCATGGATTGCGGACTTTCTGGAGCCACGGAAGGTGGATGAACCCCAAGAACTCTTGCCCTGAGGTGATCTTTAAACCTTAAACCAAAAATACCCCTAAAGTTTTCTTAAAATCAAACAACAGTTTGGCTTAACTAGTAAAAAATGTCTGCCTTGAGCATTATGCTTTTTAAAGAACTATCTGTGTATCTGACTGCTAACCAGAAGGCTGGCAGTTCAAACACACCAGCCATTCCTTCGAAGGAAGATTGGGCAATCCACTTCTGTAGTGATACCGCCTCAGAAACTCAAGGAGGGGTTGCTACGCGTCAGATCCGACTCGACGGCAGTGAGTTTGGTTTTGGTATCTGTGAACAAATTAACAACAGCAACTCAAAAAATTAGATAGGAACCTTAGGGGGCAATGAGTTTATGTTAATTGGGGTGGGACAACTCAGAAAAGGAGGGTGAGATTGGCTGTACAACTCAAAGAATGTAATCAAAATCACTGAATGGTAGAGGTAGGAACTGCTGAATCGGTCTTTAATTTGCTGTGTAAATTCTGAACAACAACAACGACAAAGTAAATAAAATTTTTTTAAAAAAAGAAAAGTTGCTCTTTGTTGAAAAGTGGACAATGCCCTAGGTGCTGTACTGAGCAGTTTCTGTACCAAGCAGTTTATACATGAGCTCGTGTGGAATCCTCACAATCCTTACTGTAATCCAACTTCTCAGATGAACACCCCAAGGATTAGAGACCTTAGGCAAGTCACCTAGTGGTCAGCCAGATTCATAGGTCTAACCACTGACTGCAAGCCCACCTCACACATGGCTGGGACTCTCCTGGAGTCACTGGGAGAAGACCTCGACCAGAAGTTGAGGGCCTAGGTGCTGGGCTGGCTCTGCACTCAGAGAAGGAAGCAGGCCCCTTTCTTTTTGGGCCTCACTTGTCATATGTAAAGGGAGGGACTGGGCTTCCAACAGTCTCAGAGGCCAAGATTTGTCCCCCTGTGTTGCCAAAAGACCAAGGGCCTTTACAAGTTACACTGTGATGTAACCAAGATTTACATACATAAATATAAAATAAACATTCAGAAACAATTCCCACGACTAATAGTAGAGTTAAATACTCCAACTACTTTTTAGAAAAGGTTTAATAATATAGGAAATGTTGATAATAAATGTTAAACGTGACTGAAAATACACCAAGATCTCAATTCTACAAACATCCATATGTAGAGGGGTAAGGAAGAAAGAAGGAAATGCCCTCAAAACGCTAAGGGTCATTATCTCTAGGTGGTAGAATTGTGGGTGATTTTTCTTTCTTTTGTCCCATTTTCACATTTTCTACAATAAACATGTATCGCTGTCACAGCCAGAAAAAAAGCAGTAACAAGTAACAGGCTGCACACTCATTGACATTTAGGCAAAGCAGGGCTGATACCATCTACAGGAAATAGGACAGAAGGTCCCACACAAGTGAGCTGGCCCTATGGAGACAACACACCTACCCCCGGCCTGTCCCCATGTCTCTGGCAAAACAAAGGCAGAAACGAAAATGCCAAGTGCCACAGTCTTCAGCAGTTAACCTGGGAAAGAACACACATCTGACATCTGGAACCTCAACGCCCGTCTGGGTGCTGGGTGCGTCTGGAGCCACAGAAAGAATAAGAAACACTTCCAGACCTGCCCACCCATGTTCACCTTCCACAAAGGCCGAGGGGGCCCCATGGAATTGCAGCTCAATGAAGCTGCAGTAATGTAGCCCAAATCCTGCCTTTTGATGCTGTGACACGGATTTGAACAGTTAACTCAGCTGTGAAGCTCCTCCGTTATCAGGCTTCTGAAGGCTGTCTGTTAAGCCTGGACCCCTGAGCACATCTTTAGCAAGTACCTGGGTTCATTCCAGTGGGCCATGACATCGGACATCCATTTCAGAGGAAGGCCGAAGGGAAATCTGTCATTCGGTGTGGGTCTGATATATTGAGAGACATGAAGGGCCAGAAAATAAGAACCAGAGACCCTTTTTCTAATTAAAAGGCAAGCAAAACTAACACTACCAGGGAAGTCTTACAGAAAAAATGATTTGTTCTCATTGTTTTTGTTTTCAGCTGTCATAATTCTAGCTTCTCCTCTGGCTGCCTGTGTTTCTGGGCCACTTCCTCTAACCATCAACTGGGGTTTTTAATGATGAAAGGCAGATTAAACTTTGTATGAATCTGATTTTATAAAACATTTGGGAAGCAAGGTATCTGGAAGATGAATGCAATAAATAAATGAGATAAAACCTCCCCAAACATGTCACATCAGAAGCCACGGGGAAATAAAGTTGGCTGGCTGCACCAAGATACCCCTGCATTCACTTGGGGATGCAGAGGGTTCACAATGACCACACGCCTTTCTTTCCCAGCCTCCAGGCTGCCAATGATGTGAACTGAGGGCTTGGGGAGGCCTGGCATTGTACACTTAATTGGACTACTAAGTCATGCCCTCTGGCAGCACAAAACTCCTCCTGGTAAAATTTATGACCTGAAAATTTACTGCCTCGTATCTTTCCCAGACGATCACCGTGTACCCAGCATCCCATCTCCCTGCTAATGTTGCTTTCATGACTCATAAATGGATGGGGCTGCTAGCCTTCCCCAAGTATTATTTGTTGGGACTACTAGTGCTTCATAAAACAAACCTAAACATAGGCAAAGAGGGCTAATTCCACTTAAGATGTGTTTAAAACACCCCCTGTCCCCATGATGTCTCAAATCAGAATAGCATGTTCAGAGTCAAAGATGTACTACCAGGCTCCGAAGAGGAGAACATGGACGCGAGAACCTGGCAGTGATGCTTAAAAACTGCCAGCCCTTTCTCCTGAAGCCCGGGAGTTTCAGAAGTCCTTCAACAACAACCCACCACATCCTCCTAGGTCGACTTAGGCAGAAGATCAAAGTCTTGAAGCTCCGCCTGATGGGGAAGCTTCTCTAACAAGCCAAGGGGTGGCTCTTGGGAGTTCAAGCACTCCTTCACTGCCACAATTGAAGCTGACACAAACATCACAGAACACGATGTGATTCTGGTGCGTTACAGAAAGTACTCCCTGAAAATGAACCTATTACAATCTTTTTCTGGGGAAGTTTCTGTCTTGTTGGAGGCTAACATCCTCAGGAGAAATAAGAAAAGCCAAAGAAAGTCAAACTCACCTCATCTGTTTTGCTCTCACAGTCCACTGGCAATAACTTCACTGAGACCAAGAAAAGAAACAGAGGAAATTAAAAAAGTGGGTTGAGGAAAGGAATTAAAAAAAAGAGATTGTTCTCAAAATTCAGGGGAAGTCAAACATCACTGACACAAGGGTAGGGACTAGAAAGATGGCATCTCAATTATGTACTTTAAAAATGCAGGCAGCATAGGGTCTTAAGAGCTTTCAAGTGGCCATCCAAGGCACAAAAATTGTTTCTGTTCACCTGGAACAGAGGAAGGAGGGTCAGAAATAGGAGAAAGATATGGAATGTGTGGCTAATTGCCTCAATGAACAATTCCTCCTTTGCCCTGAGACCAGAAGAATTGGATGGTGCTCACCTACCATTGCCGAAAATTTTGATCAAAGGATCAAAGAAGGATCCTGATGAGAAGGCGAAAATGCAGAACAGAATTTCATATTCTTATGGACTCTCTACTTTCTGAAGGCATGGAGGGTGGATGAACCCCTCAAACTATTGCCCTGAGATAATCTTTAAACCTTAAACCAAAAATATCCCCTGAAGTCATCTTAAAAAGCAAACAATAGTTTAACTTAACTAGTAAAAAACATCTGCCTCGAGCATTATGTTCTTTTAAGATCTATATGGGATTAAACTGACAACAGAATTTGAAAGTTTAGACAGGAACCTAAGCAGGTAGGAAGTTTATGTTAATAGGGAACAATTCAGAAAAGGAGGGTGAGTGGGGTTGCATGACTCAAAGAATGTAATCAATGTCACTAAATGGTACATGTGGAAACTGCTGAACAGGTGCATGTTTTGCTGTGTATATTCTCAACAGTAACACATATGATTTATAATATTTGTATTGCATATGTAACTGTATTTGTATGTGCATAGCATATGTAAGGGTTTTCTAATTCTGAAGTAGGAATTTAGTATCTGGGTTCCTAATCCCAGTTGTAAATTACTAGTCATGGGATCTGGTAGCTTAATGCCTAAGGCACTTGACTGCTAACCAGAAGGCTGGCGGTTCAAACCCACCAGCCACTCCTCGGAAGGTTGGGCAATCTACTTCTGTAGTGATACCACCTCAGAAACCCAAGGAGGGGTTGCTATGAATCGGATCTGACTTGACGGCACATAACAACAACAAGTCTTGGGATCTTGGGCAACTCACTCAACTACTCAGAACTTCTGTTTCTTCATCTGTAAAATGGAGCCAGTAAAACATTCCTTGCTTAACTCAAGGAGTGAGCCTCAAACAAGACAATATACATGACAGTTCTGTAAAATGCAAAAAAAATATATTAAACAGAATAACATAATCACGGAAGGGAACTCCAGGAGAACCCCAGTAAATGTCCAAGAGCTTAAAGCATCTCAACAGTGAGTACAACCGTGATACTGTTTGCTATCACCAGTGTAGTTATAGTACCAATACAGTACTCTTGGGTCTGCTTAATTTCTCTAGCAGCTTGATCAACTAGTCACATGGTTGATAAACTCCTGAGTGCAGAATTGTTTGGGTGTCTACAAAAGCCTGTGATCCTGGTCTTCACAGACTTGTTCGTACACCCAAATATCCTTCTGCTGCAACAGTTGAAACAGAATTTAACCTTTTCCTGTATTTTGGCTGTTTAGGCTGGAAAGATGTGGCTTTGGTTCAAGACTGGGAACAGTTAAGTGTTAATCACTGCAGTGATCATCATGCTTTACAAATATGAAAAACTGGTGACCTACAACATCACTTTAAATGTAAACTTTTAAGGGAACACTCTCTAAATTGTCTTCTGCTAGACTAGAGGCCAGAATTAACTGAGAGGTAAATTTCTCTTTTAGAAACAGACAAATCTTTATCCAGACAAGAGACACACTGTATCTTGTATACTTCTCATCAGCATGTCTAATCTTTTAAGCAAACGTGGACATAAGCACGGCTGGGGATATCCTTGAGTCACAGGACCCTTTTAACAAACGCTGTAAGAGGGCTGCAAGGCAATGATAACAGCTCCCACTTATATTAAACTCTTTAAAAGGTTATTCCACACCTGTCTCCTACCCACAGCTAGTATGAGAGGTCCTGGTGGGTCAAAGAAGTTGAGTGAGTGGCCTTTTTGGTACTGCTAAGCTGGACCCCAACCAGATCCCATCAGTGGTCAGTGAAACCTGAGATGCCTTCAAGTGGGCACGAATACATCAGTGAGCAAGAGATCAAAAAGGAAGAAAGATCTAAAAAGGGATGGGGGTGGATCTGTCAGAGGGGGTGTGGCCTTCTCTCCAAGAGGGAAAACCAGCGGTTAGGGTAAGAGTGACTACAAATGAAGAATGCTGCCAGTACGTAGTTGAAAAAGGAGATGATCAGAAGGAAGGTTTAGGGCAGAAATCGAGAGTAGGGGGAAATTACTGCAGATGCAGGGTCCTCTCCTCCCACAGCTGGAGGAAGGAAGTGGAGGGATGGCCAGAGGCAGCTGGCAGGGCCGAGGAGGAGGTGGCCTGGCGCTGGGAGAAACGGGTGGTCGTCCCCAAGGCCCTCCCCTGCGCCGGCCCGGGACGTACTGTTGTCCTCCGCCTCCTGCGGCGCCGAGGGCTTGCCCATCTTCACCCAGAGGATACCCAGGAAGACGAGCAGCAGCCCCAGGCTGGCCCAGAGCAGGAGCCGGGACAGGCAGCGCTCCAGTCGTCGCCCCACCTCGGGCCGGGCCCGTGCCGCGCCCGCAGGAACCGCTCCTGTTGCCCGCAGGCCCGGGCGCGGGTCGGGGCCGTAGAGGGCAGAGGGCAACCGCGCCGGGGCCGGGGAAGCGGCCCACCAGCGGCGGACCCCAAGCCCTACGCCCGGCGCGGCCCTGTTGGGCATCCGGGCATCCTCGTCCTCCTCGGAGCTGCCACGGGCTGAGGCGCGGCGCCTGAGCTGCGCGGGGCGAGCGGAGTAGGCGAGACCGCGGCTTCCGGACCAGGAAACCTTGGAGACCCCGAGATCGCTATAGGCCCCAGAAGTCGCGTAGGCCGAGCCCGAGGCCGGAGAGGAAAGCCAGGGCTCCACCCGCGAAGGGGACGCAGCGGGCCGGGCGCGCAGCGGCGCCTCCTCGCGCAGCCAGGCCTCCTCCCGCAGCCGCTCGTCGCCCCGCGGCCCGGCTTCCTCCCGCAGCCGCTCCTGGTCGCGCTGCCGGGCCTCGCCCCGCAGGCGGCGCAGCTTATTGCGGTATACGTCCCGGGTAGTGTCGGTGATGGGTCCTGGCTGGAAGCCCAGGGCCTGCAGCTCCCGCCGCAGCTCCAGGTCCGACAGGCCGGCCATGGCCAGGACACCGCCCCCCGCCCGCCCCAGGCACGCACTGCACCCGGAACTGCTCCCGCCGGCCGCCGCGGCGGAGCGGGCGGGGCCCTGCGCCATGATGGGAAGGTCTTTTCAGAAGCCATGTTGGGAAGGTCGTAGCTTGTCTGTCAGGTCAGCCATAATGAGGAGGTCCGTGTTGGGCTTCAGCATCCGCCATGTTGTGGAGGTCGGAGAGGTTTTTTTATATATATATATATATATATATAAAATATTGGGAGCTCTGGTAGCATAGTGGCTAAAGGCACTTGACTGCTAACCAGAAGGCTGGTGGTTCAAATCCACCAGCAACTCCTCGGAAGGAAGATGGGGCAATCTACTTCCGTAGTGATACTGCCTCGGAAACCCAAGGAGGGGTCGCTATGAGTCGAGTCCGACTCGACGGCACATAACAACAACATATATATATTTTTATAAATATATTTATTTTTATTTTATTTTATAAATATATATATTTTTTATATATATATATATATATATATATACACATCCACACACACATATATACACACACATATACACACACATATGTTGTTGTTGTTATGTGCCATGGAGTCAGCCCCGACTCAAGCGACCCCTACTTGGGTTTCGGAGGCAGTTATCATTACGGAAGTAGATTGCCCAGTCTTCCTTCCGAGGAGTGGCTGGTGGGTTTGAACTGCCAGCCTTCTGCTTAGCAGTCAAGTGTCTTAGGCACTATGCTACCAGAGCTTCTACACACACACACACACACACATATGTGTATAAATGAACTTTTTTTCTTTTTCAATTCTTGTTTTACTGTTTGCGGTGTCTGGAACACTGCATGGTGTTTATCACTGATTTCCCTGGCCTCTAGAATGATCCCTGGCACGTGGTAGGCACTCAATAAAGTTGTGTTGATTTAATGGATAAATTAATGGTGAAAGACAAGCCACTGCTAAGCGTGGGGAGATGGGATCCTTCACCTCTCTCTGTGCTTGGGGACTGATGTGTGATCCCTTCTGCTCCCAGGAAAAGGCCTTGTTTAGTTCTTGGAGTAGACCTCAGACATGCTGAGAGGCCCTATCCCATCTTCCGGCTGTAGCTGCTTGGCCTGTGTGTTCTCACTCACCTGACATTAAGCATCAAATGAGTGTAAGCTCTGCCCAGGGACAGACACTGTCCCTCAACAGGCCCCAGACGGGAGGGAGATTCCTCATCCATACAGCCACACTGGAGGTAGAAGAGGCAACTGCCTCAGCCTTTGGGCTTAGTGGGCTGTTAAGCCTTCTCAGAGGAAGCTGTGTGTGGCTGGATAATGGGATTTTCATCGGAAAAGATAGATAGGGGAAGACCCCAGAAACACAGTCTTGTTGGCATCACTTGTGGTTTAGGATGTGGGTTTTGAAGCCAGACTGTTTGATTTTGAATCCCATCTCCACCTTTGTTAGATATATGTGCAGTCACATCCAATGAACATTTCTAGTCTGTTTCCAGTAAACTGCAAAGGGTTGTTGGGAGGATTAGATGAGGTGAATTGCTTAGATCAGTGCCTGGAACATGCTCATAAGTTTTTATATTTAGCCTATGTCTTTGCAGCGGTAAGGCTATGTGTAGCCTTCCACAGGGTACCCCATTTCCTTACATGAAGACTCTTGGCCAGGAAACCCCTAAGGGAAGCATGAGGAATGACAACAAATGGAAATAAGACTACAGAACACTTACTCCTCACTTACTGACCATCTTATTAATGCAAAATTTTGTATATATGGTAATAGTAAAAATCTGCTATCTGACTATTTTTTGCAGCAACAACATACGTCTGGCAGTAATGAACACCAAGGTGTTAGTTAAGGTTATGTTCAGCTTGGCTTAGGCCATGATTCTCAGTGGTTTGGCAGTTACATATTGATGTAATCATCCTCCATTTTGTGATCTGAAGTAGTCATCCTCCATTTTTGCATAACACTGATTTTCACATGACCTGTTCTTGGAACCTAAGCATGTTGATTAGTGAGGAGTGGGTGTGTATAGTTCCTAGACTTCATTCCACCTCCCTCCTCCCCTTAGTATTCATTCCGCATCCCTCATCAGCTCTCTTTCTCAAACATTTATTGTAGGTTCCAGTCCATTTCTATCCTTCTCATTCACTTCTCTCTTCTTCCTGGGATCTCCCTGTAACTCTACCCCACAATGCTCCCATCTGTCCCCTCTTCTTCTCTCCTGGAGTGTCTGGGCAGAGATCCTCTGCCAATGTTTTGCATTCTTGCCCCTTTATCAACAATGTGAGTATTCAACACTGGCCACAATTGCTGGGAAAATTACAGCCTCGGCTTGGTCCAGTTTCACTGTCAGCCTCCCCATCTCCCCCGGCTTAGCTGCTCCCATGTGGTGTGATTTCTCTCACCAAGTGTTGTTTTCTTTTTCTCTGCCTATGTTTGCACGGAATGCCATGAATTTGATATAGTGATTGCCTAACACATATACCACATAATAATATTTTATTTCTTTCTGAAGCACTGTTTGCATGACAAATGAGTTGGTAACATTTGTGCACCTCCTTGCAGCTGTGCAGTTCAACATATAAAGAATGAGCCTTCCGGCATCAATACTAGCCCTGTGTATTCTAAGAGGGCTTGAAACTGATGCTTAAACAAAGCTAATGTTACAGCATTTCACAGAGTTATGGTCTATTTCATCACAATGGATCTCAGGGCAATTTAGAAATATGTACTGAACTGGAGCCACCACCCCCAGTGGTGGTCCATGGTGAGGCCTCTGCCAGCTTTCTTTGTGTTTGGGGACCCCACCACTGTTACACAGACCTGGAACCGAATGATCCACAGCCTTTTTTCCCTCTGAACCCTGCTATCTTCCCTTTAACCTGGTTAGTTGCCATCAAGTTAATTCTAACTCATAGTGACCCTGTGTGACAGAATAGAACTTCCCCGTAGGGTGCGTGTTCTAGGCTGTAGTCTTTATAGGTGCAGATGGCCAGGACTTTTTCCCACAGAGCTGTTGGGTGGGTCCACATCACCAGCCTTTCAATTAGCAGCCAAATGCTTAACCGTTGCACCACCAGGGTTCCTCCCTCTCTAACCTAGAACCCGTCATGTTTGCAGCAATGGCCTTTTGCTACCCAGGTTACCCAGATCCACCTCCTGGCCTCCACAGTGGCTTGCCAGTCGAAGGCACCGTCTTGCACATCCAGCAGGCCTTTGGGGTGGCATGCTAACAGGCACCCAGGCAACACCAACCACTTCAGTGAATTTGCTGATTATTGCTTCCCTGTTCCATCTCACGACATTAGCTATTGACCCTTTGGAAGAGAACTCACTAGTCAATTGTTCTTTCCAGGTCTCAGGTCTTTCCATTTTCTCATGAACTTCTGACTCCAGTCCAGCCCCTTTTCTGGATTTATAATCCCTGTTTGGTCCTCCATCAAGAGTCTCCACCCCCACAGCCCTTTTACCCATGTTAGTGAAGTCGCTTTGTTACTTTTTACTTTCCTCCACATGACCATTGACCCACACTTTGTCCACTAACCCTTCCAGCTTCCCTTCTGAAGGGCTCGACTTTAGTATGCCTTTGCTACTGCTGCCTCTTGTCAGGAGCTGCCCACGAGGCCCTTCTGGGGGCTCTCAGAGTGTGCTTTTCTGTGTCTTCTATGTGGTTCTTAGATGGGGTCTGTTGAGGATGGGAGTGCATATTTTACAGAGAAGGGCAGTCTTGCAAAGTCGACAGCTGCCTGCACCCCCTCCTTGTCATCGCGCCATTGTGGGTTGTTTTTTTTTTTCCTAGGTGAGCAGCTTAGGCTGCAGCTGATCTTCCTGATTTATTAAAGACAAAAGAGGAAAAACAAGCTCCAGTATCTAAATCTACTTAGTAACCACATCCACACAGCAGAGGTGAGGGGCTGCTGGGAGGACGCTCTGAATTCCCACCGGGATGCCATGTGGCCTTCCATCCTGCTGACCTCTCTCTGTCTCAGCAGAGCCTTATAATAATAATGGCCATAAATCTTTTAGTGGGTTCCATCCTCCTTCTCCTCCAGCAAAAAGCCCTGTACACATTTATCAGGGCCTCAAAGATGCTCAGGGACTGTGGACCTGTCCTTGATCCATCCCCTCTGGGGTCTTGTGCATCCTGCTCAGCTATTCTGGGCTTCCTTCAAATCACATCACCAGTGACATCACATGGCAGGGGATGGGAGGGACAATAGGAGAGTGTGGTTGAGATGGGGGGCAAAAGTGGGTGCCATTTTGGGCTCAGATTTGAACTGGAATGAATCCCTGCTCCCATCCGAGGACCACCCAACTTCTTGTTGCCTCATCTCATTCCCCTGTGGAAGATGAGGGTCACCCTTTTCATTTAGGTTTTGGGGTGTGTCAATGAGGGAGGGAAGTAAAGGGTCACAGAGAAACTCCAGAATGGTTTTAATGGGTAGTTATGTCACCTGCTTTTCATAATCTGCTGAGAATTAAATGAAGCTCTTAGTCTTCTGGCAATTCTCACACTTTGATGGCTGTGAGTAAGAGTTCCTTTAGAGGCACAGAATACATTACATGATGTCAATAACAAATTGTGTATGAAGAAAGATGCTTTCAAAACATTTTCTTTTGGGTTTTGTCCATGATTAGATTATACTAAATTATAGTGTACGGACATAAGGCAATTACTCTTTGCTTTTAACTATTCAATTTCATGGCAAATCCATATAGCTCAGTAATTATAAAATCACTTGGATGTGGTTACTGAGAAAATACCTCATCATCTGTATCTTCTGAAGCTAAGTTCAAGTTGCCCTATAAATTACCTGTGGTCCCGTTAAGTGTAAAGTACATTTCAAATGAAGACAAGGTAATCTGTAACTCTCCCTAATTGCCAGGTAGCTAGAAAGATTCTGATAGATTTTGCTAGGTAAACCTCAGCAAGATCTGAGGAGGAATGGTGCTCTCCCCCTACTGGTCTCTGGGCACTCGCGCTATCTGTAATTCTGGCTGGTTTCCGATCAGGTCATTCTGTAGCTTTAACTGTTGTTGTTGTTGTTATGTGCCGTCGAGTCAGCCCCGACTCATAGCGACCCCTCCTTGGGTTTCCGAGGCAGTATCACTACGGAAGTAGGATTGCCCAACCTTCCTTCCGAGGAGTGGCTGGTGGGTTTGAACCGCCAGCCATCTGGTTAGCAGTGTGTTTTGTGAAAACATGGACTTCTTGTCTTGGTTCAGCTCGCAGAGTCCTCCCAACCCCCGGAATTTAATTTCTTCCAAGGCTGTGCGTGTCCCGTAATCAATCGAGGCTACTGTCCTGAAAACTGGAGAAGCTTGTTGGGAAAAAAGAATTATTTGAGCCGATGGTGAGAAATCGAACTGTGGCAGGAGGAGGAAAACAAGAAAAGAAAGGAGCCGACACATCTGAACAGCCAGGATACTGTGCATACAGATGTAGATGGTAGCTGGGTCAGAGGCTGCAGGGTGATGGTGTGGGGAGGGGTGGCAGCTGGGCTGCAGATGGGCTTGGAAGAGGGCTTCTCTGCAAAACGGATGGTACCTTCACCATTCCTAGGCACTGTGGTGACTGAACCAATTCTCAGTTTAAGAAATGCATGCCTACCTGGGGTGAAACCTCCTACAGGTCCTAGTTCCCTCCATGCCACCTCTTTCAATGCTGCTGTTTAACTACTGGAGTCCCTGGCTTGTGCAAATGCTCTTGGCTGCTAGCTGAAAGACTGGGGGTTCAAGTCCACTGGAAGGTGCCTCAGAAGAAAGGTTTAGTGGTCTACTTCCAAAAAGTAGCTATTAAAAACTCTATGGGACACAGTTCTGTTCTCACGTGGGATTGCCATGGGTTGGAGTAGACTCGACAACAACTGGTATGAAGGCAGTGGTGGTTCAGTGGTGGAATCTTCGTCTTCCATGTGGCAGACCCGAGTTCAGTTCCTGGCCAATACACCTCATGCATAGCAACCACCTGTTAGTGGAGCCTTGCATGTTGCTATGATGCTGAATAGATCTCAGTGGAGTTTTTAGACTAAGATGGACTAAGGAGAAAGGCCTGGTGATCTACTTCAAAAGTCAACCAGTGGAAACCCTACAGATCACAACAGTCTGATCTGTAACTGATCACGGAGATGGTTGCTGTTGTTGTTAGGTGCTGTTGAGTTGGCTGTAGCTCATAGCGAAACACTGCCCGTCCTGCCCCATCCTCACAATCCCTGCTATGTCTGAGCGCATTGTTGTAGCCACTGTGTCAATCCATCTCATTGAGGGTCTTTACCTTTTTCACTGACCCTCCACTTTACCAAGCACGTTATCCTTCTCCAGAAAATGGTCCCTTCTGACATATGACCAAAGAAGGTGAGACGAAGTCTGGTCATTCTCACTTCCAAGGAACATTCAGGCTGCACCTCCTCCAGGACAGTTTTGTTAGTTCTTCTGGCAGTCCATGATACTTTCAGGATTCTTCGCCAGCACCACAACTCAAAAGCATCAACTCTTTTTTTGTCTTCCTTATTCATTGTCAGGCTTTCATATGCATATGAGGTGATTGAAAACACCATGGCTTGGGTTAGGTACACCTTAGTCTTCAAAGACACATCTTTGTTCTTCACCACTTTCAAGAGGTCTTTTGTAGCACATTTGCCCAGTGCAATACATTATCTGACTTCTTGACTGCTGCTTACATTGGTGTTGATTGTGGAACCAAGTAATACGAAATCTTTCACAACTTCGAACCATGGAGATGGTACAGGATCATGTAGAATTTCATTTTGTTGTGCATGGGTCCCCATGAGTCAGGGGCCAACTTGACTACCAGGATCTTAGGGGAAATTTTTCAGGGGGTATCAGGGCTCCAGTCTCAGAAATGGGCACTCTCTGCTGCTACTAGAGGAAGGCAGTCACACTATGGGGGCACATCAGGCCAAGAGTGAGGGAAGGGACACAAAATCTGTCTTTGCCAGATGGAAAGAGGCCATTTCTCTGCTCTTTGGAGTGTGTTACAGAGAGTGGAATGGGCTGGCATGGTAGAACTCAGAAAGATGAGGAGAGTCATGATTCAGGGCCTCCCAATCACATGCATTGTAGGCTCCCGAGTCTTTGCCTCTTTTGCTCCCCACGTGCTCTGCTGCAGCCCTCTCCCTCCATTCATTTCCTGATGTCTTGGCAGTGTTTCCCAGGAACCTGCAGCTGCATTTGGACTGATCAGTGTGTGCATGGGAAATGCATGTGCTTGAGCAGCGGGGTTAGGGCTAGGTGTTCCTCAGGAGCAGACAGAGCGCCTCAAAACAAAAGTTCTTATTAAGGGTTGGGGTCTTATTTATTTATTTATTTTTTAATTGTGATTTGGGTGAAAATTTACAGAGCAAATTCACTTTCCATACAGCAGTTCACATACACTTTGTCTCATGACATTGACTGGTTTACCACAATGCAACAGCTCTCTTCCCACTTCCTCCCAATAGTTACCTCTTCCCTGTGTCCATCCCTCCATGGACTCTTGCCCCCTGAGCTGTCTCCCTGTGCATAAACATGATTGTTCTCTCCAAGGAGTGTATCTACCTCAGGTAAATATTCAATTCATATGCCTGTCTTTTGCTTGGCTGGAAGCCACAGGTGTGGGTTCAATTCCAGACCTGAAGGGCAGCTGGGGGCCATCGTCTCAGTGGTTCCACCAGGCTCTATCAGACCCAGCAAACCTGGTTGGGTTGGGGTCTTCTTGTTTAGGTAACTCCTTGCCGAGCCTAAGCCCACACAGTGGTTGGGGTGGGTAGAAATACAGCATGGCCACTGTGTTTGTCAGTAACCTATGGATGGAGGAAGCTGAGGTTCCTATATGGCCCTGGTTTATAAATAAATGAACATTCATTAATGTTAAATTAAATTAGAATGAAATTTGCCATCCAGTTTTGTTTAGAAGGCAGAAATAAGTGGGTTGGCTGGGTGATTTTGCTGCAGATGCTGGAGCCTGTAGTCACAAGGTGATAATAATAATAATAGTAATTTGCTCTTTGCTGGTGCCTCCGTCTCCAGCTCTCCAGGCAGATATTACCACCTTGCTTTTGCAAAGGCTCATTGAGGTTAAAGGGCTGGTTGGAAGTTACTCAGCAAGGGGTTGAGTGCAGAGGCCTTAAAATCCTCTGCCCCGTTAGACCTAGAGCTCATCAGCAGTCAGACAGAGGACTGGGATGCAGGAGATCTGAATTCCAGTCCATGCCCTGCCTGTGACTCAGGGCATGGGCTTCACCTACAGTGGAATGGCTGGAGCAATTCTTCCAAGTCTATGGATATACCATGATATTTAAAGGACCCCTGGTGGCACAGCGGTTTAGTGCTCAGCTGCCAGCCGAAAGGTAGGCAGTTTGAACCACCCAGTGACTGCAGGAGAAAAACCTGGCAATCGGCTTCTGTAAAGATTACAGTCAAAACCCTATGGGGGCAGCTCTACTCTGCCACATGGGGTCGCTGTGAGTCGGAATCAACCTGATGGTGCCCACCACCACCACCAATGTAACATCAGACCTCTGATCTTATGAAAGGCACATGTTTTGCTAATGGTTGCAGCACTGATGACCAATCCCTCTGAGCTTTATTTTTTTCCCCCTTTTCTCATGATCTGAGCGTGCCCTTTGGAAATAAATATTAAATAAAGGAGTCATTTCTGTACATTTCATGCTTTATTGGCTGCAGGGGGATTGACACTGGAGGGAGCGCTTTCCTTCCAGCTCCTGCTGATGGGCTGTGCAGATTTCTGGGGATTCATTTGGGCCGGAGCTCCCTGTTCAGACTCCCTTATTCCCGGAGCAGCGTTCGTCACTCAGCTGCTGGGGAGGGAAAGCAAAGGAGGTTGGCAGATCAGTAGTGTCAGCATGTCTGCTTACGAAACCACCTCCTAAAACCTGCCTGCAGATCCGAGGGAGTAGGGGGTGCCTAGGACAGGATGTGGGGTAGAGGAGGCAGGGGTTTTGGCCAGGCTTCTGGAAGTTCTACCTCTGGCTTTCTCTGTAGCCTGGGGCAAGTCATTTAACCTCCCAGTTCCTCCATCTCTAACTCTGCTCCCTCCCTGTGTTTCTCCTCTCCTCCTGGGGACCATAAGAAGTAATTAGTGTCTGTTTGTCAGACGAGATCTAGCTTTGTATTTGCACAAGTATCTCGGGCAGACCTTGAACGGGGCAAGGCCAGTTGGGGCTCAGGACTTTTGGTTTGCAGGACGAGAGGGAAAGATGCAGGCTTTTGTGACTGGACTGCAGTCAGGGAAACCACCCAGCCATGGCAGTGCTCAGGGAGGGAGGTTGAGGAGTAGTTGTTGATTTATGGTGGCCCTCTGTCAGAAAGGCATTTGGGGGTCAGGCCTGAGCTGTTTAAAGCAAGGGCTTAGAAGAAGTCTATTGCCAGAGAATTGGGCCTCTGTAGCCACCAGTAGCCATCACAGCCAGGCACACTCTGTGATTAGGCGCCCTCCTGAGGTGGGATGGGAGCTATGGTGGGACAGTGCCTACTAAGGCATTTGACTACTAACCAGAAGGTTGGTAGTTCAAACCCATGAGCCACTCTGGGGAAGGAAGACTGGGCAATCTACTTCCGTAAAGATTTACCACCTTGGAAAACCACTGGGGATCGCTATGAGTCAGAATCAACTCGATGACAGTGGGTTTGGTTTTGGTTTGAGGGAGGAGGGAGAAGGAACTCTGGTTGTGCAGTGGTTAAGGCATTTGGCTTAAGCAATTTGAACCCACCAGCTTCTCCTCGAGAGAAAAATGAAGCAGTCTGTTTCCATAAAGATTTATGGCCTTGGAAACCCTATGGAGCAGTTCTCCTCTGCCCTGTGGGATTGCTGTGAGTCGGAATCAACTCAATGGCAGTGGGTTTTGATTGGTGGGGGTACCCCCATGGGAGAAGCCAGCTTCATGTTCTCAAGTGCAAAGCAGAAAAACAAACCACGGTCCCCAAACCCTGTTCAGACGGCGCTCCTGGAATATCAACACCAGGGTGGGTGGAGGACACTCTGCCCCCATGCTGTTTGGGGTGGACAGCAGCACCCACCTTGCTCAGCAGCCCTTCCAGGGCGGCCCAGTACTTTTCCAGCTGCCTGGAGTTCATCCTCATTCCAATTTCCACCGGAGCAGTCAGCTGTGAAATAAGGCAGAGTTAACAAGAAGGGAGCTGTGTGGAGAGTTAACCCCTGGGTGCCCTACAGGTGGCAGGAGAGGCCCACTGGAAGACATACTACCCTGCCTGCCCACTCTTCCAGCTCCTCCAGGCCTCTGGAGCTGTCTGCGAGTCTTGGGATCTCCTCCCACTTCTAACCAGGAGGCCATACCTTGGCCATCCAGGGAGAGTCTCGGAGACCTACGGGGAGGATTAAAAACCTCTCCTGCAGAGGAAGCTGTGTCCTGAGGAGTGGGGTCCCCCAGTATTAGCTAACATTGTGGAGCCTTCCTGTGTGCCAGGCATCCTTCTAAGTGCTTTACATATAGTAAGTCTCTCAATGATCCTACGTGGTAGGGACAATTAGTGTCCCCATTTTGCAGACTGAGGAAACAAAGGCACAAAGAGACCAAGTTACTTGCTCAAGATCACAAAGTTAGTAAGTAGCAGAGGGAATTGATGCTAAACCTACCAGGCTTGGCCTCAGGGTTTGTGCCCACAACCATCAGGCTGCACTGTCTCCTGCACTGAGGGGCACCATTGAGGCCCTAGCAGAGCTATCTAGAGGCTTCACATCCAGGGAGGTTGCTGAGGCCTCGGGACAGAGCCAGGCAGGGTTGACTGGTATCGCATGCACCCACAAAGCCTCCTGGTCCAACTGTCTTGCTGTACAAAACAGGTAGCTGACTGTGTACAGAGGAGTCCCAACGTCCACTCCCCCATCTCCCACCAGCTCCCTGCATGTGGGAAATGGGTTTGGGCCTGTACTCCAGACCTGCAGGGACTTGGGATGCCTGAAGGGGAGCTGCAGAAGTGTTCCCTGGGGTTCTCAGCTGGATGTTGTGGCAGGTTCAATTCCTGGCTATGTCATTCTCTTGCTGTGGCAATTTTCTCACTTTAAAATTAGACAGCCTCACTGGATGGCCCATAAAGGACTTGGTCTAGGTTCATGGTTCCAGGGAGGTCCAAGCCTCCTGGAGAAGGGTGCTATATCAGATGTTGCATGCACATTGAGACCTCTGTCTCTGGTACATCTAGAGGGTAGTGTGGAGTGAGCACCACTCTTGCCAACTATGTGACTCATTCTTAGCTCTCTCCTAGTGAGCCAAAGGAGGTCTAGGTGGATGTGAGGAACGAAAGGAACCCTATACTACTGAGCATTTGGGACATTGCCCAAGGTCATCCTCTGGGCGTCATGCTTAACCTCTGACTTTGCTGTTTATAGACAGCATGCAGTGGCCACCTGACAAGGATGGGGGAAGATCCCTGGCCAGTGGGAGGTGGGAAGCATGGACTCCAGATTCAGTTCTACTCTGACTACTGTGTGACCTTGGGCAAGGCCCTGGCCCTCTCTGATATCAGTCTCCTTATCTCCCCTTGCCCTTGACAAGGAGTTCCAGCTCTCAGTCACGGACCCTCTCCTCTTTTCTACCTACACCCATTCCTTTGGGGATCTCATCCCGTCCTGGCTTTAAATTTCATCTAATCATCAGTGACTGCCATGCTTATTCTCTCCTGAACTTCAGACTTGTGAATCTACCTGTCTGTGCAATATTTCCACGTGGGGGCCCAATAGGCATTGCACAGTTCACAGGTCCAATCTGACCTTTTGATCCTCTTCCCCGTGCCCTGTTCCCATCCCATGCTTCACTGTTTTAGTGGAGGGAAAGTCTGTCCTTTCAAGTGTTCCAGTCAATAACCTTAAAGTCATTTTTTTTTTTTTTGCTTTTCTTTCTTTCCAATCTTTCAGCAAATCCTGTTGACTTCTATCTCCAAAGGAGTTGCAGAACCTGACCACTTCCCCCACCTCCACCGTGACCACCCTAGACTGAGCCGCTGTCTTAGATAATGAATGCAGCAGCCACTTCAGTGGTCTCCCTAATTCTGCCTTTGCCCCTTTAATCTGTTCTCAATACAGCAGTTAAGGAGGTCCCTTTAAAATGTAAATCAGATCATATCCCTCTTCAAAAGCCCCCTGGAGCCTTCCACCTCAGCAGAGTGAAAGTGAAGTCCTGACAATGGCCTATACAGTCCACAGCCTGGCCTCACTGCCCTCATTCTTTCCCTCTGGTCACCTTTGCTCCTGCCACTCTGACCCCCTCACTGTTCCTGAATACTCCAGGCCCCTTCTGTCTTGGGGTCTTTGAACTGCTGACTATTCCTTCTGCCTGAGATGGTCTTCCCCAGATATCCTTGTGGTTCACTCCTTCTTTCTCTTTAAGTCTTTGTGTGAATACTCTGGTGGCCTAGTGCATAAGGCATTTGACTACTAGCCATAAGGTTGGCAGTTCAAATCCACCAGCCACTCTGTGGAAGAAAGATTGGGCAATCTACTTCCATAAAGATTTACTGTCTTGGAAAGCCAAAGGGGTGATGGCAGTGAGTTTGGTTTGAGTTTGGCTCTGATCACCCTATTTAAAATTCCAATCAATCCCATCTTCTTTCACTGCTTTGTTTTCCTCATAAATCCACTAAACCCATAGCCATCTAGTCTTCCAGGTGCATCCTAGTGACCCTATTAGGACAGAGCAAAACTGCCTAATAGGGTTTCTAAGGCTGTAAATCTTTACAGAAGCAGATTGTCTCATCTTTCTCCTGCAAAGTGGATGGTGGGTTCAACTGCCTTAATCACTACACCACCGAGCTCCTTTCCTCCATGGTATCTATCATATACATATACCAAACTCACTGCTATTAAGTTGAATTTGACTCATAGCGACCCGTCCTTGGGTTTCTGAGGTGGTGTCTCTATGGAAGTTGATTGCCCAATCTTCCTGTCACAGAGTGGTCAGTGAGTTTGAACCACCAGCCTTTTGGTTAGCAGCCAAATGCTTTAGACACTATGTCACCAGAGCTCCTATCATACACACACACACGCACACATACACACATAACAAAAACCAGACTCACTGCCATCTAGTCAGTTCCGACTCATAGCAACCCCCATTGAGTTTCTGAGGCATTAAATCTTTATGGAAGTAGATTGCCCCATTTTCTTCTCATGGAGTGACTGGTGGGTTTGAATCGCTAACCTCCTGGTTAGCAGTCAAATGCCTTAGGCACTATGCCACCAGAGAGACAGACAGACAAAGAAAGAGAGAGAGAGACAGACAGAGAGAGAGAGAGAGAGAGAGAGAGAGAGAGAGAGATGGCTTATTTACTTCACGGTCTATCTCCTCCACCGGAATGTGAAGAGAGGATTCTCTCTGTTTTGTTATGGTTCTGTCCTCAATGACTTCCACATAGTAGTTTACCCCCAGTCAACTCTGACTCCTAGCGACCCCATGCGTGTCAGAGTAGAACTGTGCTCCATAGCGTTTTCAATGGCTGATTTTTCAGAAGTAGATCCACAGGTCTTTCTTCAGCCTCCAACCTTTGAGTTAGCAGTGGAGCACATTAACCATTTATACCACTCAGGGACTCTTTTGCACACCATAGGAGCTCAATAAATATTCATCATGTGAATAAGTGAGTCTGTGAAACTGAAAGGCTGGATTGGATGACCTCAATTGATGGGTCTTCCCCTGTTGTGTTGGCCGAGATCGTTCTAAGTCAGGTCAGGTCCCTTTCCAGATGGCTTGCCTGGCCCCCCAGGCCCTGCCTGAACTGGGCCAGCTGACTTCCTCTCACCCTATCTCAGCACATTCCGGCCACCAGGGCCTCAAACCTCCAGGTGCATCCTGAGCAGGGCCTTTGTGGTCACCCTTCCTTCCTTCCTCCAGTGCTTGAATGGGTGGCTCCTTCTCACATCAGGTTTCAAATCAAATGTCACCTTCTCTGAGAGGCCTTCCCTGACCCCTCTCTAGCCAAAGCAGTGCCCCCACTCCCACCCGGCCACTCTGTACCATACTGCCCTACATGAGGGCTACAATGATCTACTTGTCTCCTCTTTGGTGCTCATCAGTCCCCACTAGGCCATAGCTTATTGCCAGAATGTCTTGTTCACTGCTGTATCCTAGAATATTCCTTGGCTGAGGTTGGCAGGCCCTACCTCCTTGCTGGACAGGAGGAATCAACCTCTCACCAAGTCTCTCGGCACTGCCCCGGGGATGGCTGCTCACCTTGATAATTATCCTTTCTTCTTCCTTTGTGGGCTCTGTAGCATCCTGAGCCTCTGTGTTCTCAGACCTCTGCTGTAAACTCAGGGATTTCTTTTGTCCTTTGTTCCGCTCCCTTTCCTAGGGGCACAGCATAAAACAAACAAATAAACACAACAAAAAGAAACAAACAGACTTTTGCTGTCAAGCCAGTTCCAATGCGTGGCAACCCCATGTATTACACAGTAGAACTGGGCCCCATAGGGTTATCTTGGCTGTAATCTTTATAGAAGCAGGTTCCCAGGACTTTTTTTTCCATGGCATCACTGAGTGGGTTCAAACCTCCAACCTTTTGGTTAGCAGTCAGGTGAAAATCAATAAAACTGCACAAAATCCACCTTCCCTTGACTTGCCCAGTGGCCCCTAGTCCATTTCCACCAGGGGTGCTAACTGTCCTAAGCATTTTACTGACCAAAACAGCCCCTTCTTCCCAGGGAGCTTCTCTATGGGGAGACTCACACCCCTGGTGGCTTAGGAATGGCCCTTGGAGTTGCTCATCAAGAGTTCAACTTGAGGTGAATATTTACATCAGGTAGATACACTCCTTGGAGGGATCAAAGATCAATCGTGGGAGAACAGAAGGGCAGTGTTTGCACAGGGAGAGAGCTGGAGGTGGGGCTGGAGTGTGTGGGACAGAAGGACACAGGGAAGAGATAACTACTGGGAGGAAGTGGGAAGAGAGCTGTTACATTGTGGGGAATTGCAGTCAATGTCATGAAACAAAATGTGTATGAAATGCTGTATGGAAAATGAATTTACTCTGTAAACTTGCACCCAAATCACAATAAAAATTAAAAAAAAAAAAAAAAAGGAGGTCAACTTGAAGAAGAATCCATTCCTTTGTAGTTAAGGAATTGCACCCAGATTGTGACTGTTAATTAAGTTAAAATGCTGAAAGTAATGGCTGCCCTTCATGCATATAAACTATGAAAATGTGTTTTTCTTAGCAGAGAGCCTATAAAAAAGGTGGCAAGACAGCATAGCCTGTGAGGGCGCCACGGGGTGGCCCAGGAACTTGGAATCCCTGGGAGGTGATTTATAAGAGGCAAGACAGGGAGATGAATTATAGAAGAAGGAGTTTGCTGCTTCTTCATAAAAGTCCTGGTGCCTGGCAATTATGAGGAGAAAAACCATGGAGCAGATTAATGTAAAATGTCCTTTGGTTGCCATTTTGTTAGTTTATGTTCTACTCAATTTGTTGCTGTCCAGCCCCAAATCTTGCCTGGCATTCTGCTTGCTGGGTCTCCTGCAATCACACACATCTAATTCCTTTGATTTCTCTGATAGCACTCTTGGGATTCAGCTCTCAGCAAGCCCCAATACGTGGTGATTCTAGAATATTCGGTCATCTCCTTGGAAGAGTGTAGGATGGAGGTGCATCTAGAGGACTTGCTATGGCATCACCTCCATTACTTTCCATTTCTGCCCCTGAAGAAGGGGAGCTGAGTTCAGCCTGGTCTCTGCAAAGGGCCCTGTTCTCTGAGTATCTAGAAATTTTCTCTGTCCACAGAGTGGGCAGATACAGACCGGCTGTACGCCAGGGGCCACAAGAACCTCCCAAAAGAACCGTATGTGTCTGTCCCTACTGGAGGAGTTCTGGCGGCGTAGTGCCTAAGGCACTTGACTGCTAATCAGAAGGCTGGCAGTTCAAACCCACCAGCCACTCCTTTGAAGGAAGTAATAGTAATACTGCCATAGTAATACTGCCTCGTCTCTATTGGAGGCTTGCTGTTATCTAGGACGGATGTGAAAATCCTATTCCTCATCTCCTAGGGGTAGAGAGAACGGAATGTCTGCACAGACACTCAGAATCCCTTGAAATCCAGAGTCAAAGGCATCAAGAAGACAGATCCAGCCCTTTAGTTTTCATTAGGCCCCACTGCCTGAGTCCCATTAAATTAATTGCCATTGAGTTCTTCTAACTCACGGCAACCCCATGTGTGACAGAGCAGAACTACACCTTAGGATCTTCCGGACTATAATCTTTACAGAAGCAAATCACCAGGCCTTTCTTCCATGGAGCTGCTGGGTGAGTTACTGCCAAATTTAAGTTAGAGGTCAAGCACAGTTTGCACTCCCCAGGGACCTTTGTTGTTGTTGTTAATTGCTGGCGAGTCAATTCTTACTCATGATGACCCCATGTGTGACAGAGCAGCACTGCTCCATAAGGTTTTCTTGGCTGTAATCTCAATGGAAGCAGATCACCAGGCCTTTTCTTCTGAGATACCTCTGCGTGTGTTCGATCTGTCAACCTTTCAATTAGCAGTCCAACTCAAATCATTAGTGTCACCCAGTGACCTCCAGGGACCTTAAACCAAAACCAAACCCACTGGCATCGAGTAGATTACAACTTATAATGACCCCATTACAGGACAGAGAACTGCCCCATAGGATTTCCAAGGTTGTATATCTTTCTGGAAGCAGACTGCCTCACTTTGCACCCACAGAGCATCTGGTGGGTTTGAACTGCCGACCTTTTGGTCAGCAGCCCAATGCTTTAACCACAGCACCACAGACCTTAGGCTCATCTTATTTCCTTTTGGGCTCAAAGTGAGGGTGGCTATGCCTTCACTGCATGGAAAACCACCTTCTTTCCCACCTCCTGGGGGTTAGCTCACTTCCTCTCACCTTATCCCTTGAGACCTCCGGCTCAAGTTTCACCTTCTCCCTGTGGGCTCCTCAACAAGCTGGAGCCCAAAATGATTTCTCCCTCCTCTGAACTCAGCACTCAGGATCAGCATCACTTATTGGTCAATTAATCATGTCTTGCCTTGTGACATCTCTCTTTTGTCTTCTGTCGTTAGTTAATTTTTCATATGTTTGTGTCTTGGCTCCCCAGCCTGCTCAATGAAGAAAAGGGGAGGGTCTTAGATTTTCTTGTATGTCTGACCTATCACCCAGGGTTGTGCCTTCGACAACAGAAATGCTCAGTAAATATTTATGTGCTTGTTAATTGAAAATTTCCTCCAAAGGATGGGAAGAGGTGGAAAACCACTGACACCTTTGAGTGGTGCTAGGGAAGGAGTGGAGGTGGCCAGGGAGATGACTGGGGTTTAGGGTTATCTGGGGCCCTGGTTCTTCATGCTCTCCTTGATGTCGCTGGCACAGTTAATTAAATGTGGCTTTGCTGAAAGAACCCTTCTGCTTTAATGAGACCAGTGTCATGTTAGTGCTGAACAGGACTGTGAATCACTTTAGACGTGTCCAGGGAGAGGGGCAGCCTAGGTGATTTCTTACCTGCATCCTCTGGAGTTCGCTGTAGGTAAAGATGGGAACAAAGGCTTCTGTCTGGGAGGCCAGCATGGTGGCCACATGTACCACAAGCAGGACGGCCACGGCCTTTTGGGACACCATCCTGGAGCTGGACAATGACAAGGGACTCTGTCACCAAGTGTAGGGTACAGAGATGGACAGCAATGCACACAAAGGCAGGGTCCCTGAGTTCTAGTCCACTCCCCACCTGAAGCTGTGTGATCTTGAGCAAGCCACTGAGCCTCTCTGACTTGGGCCTGGTGTTGGGCTTTCCCAGGTGAGCTCCAAACACCCTCTTTCCCGAGCCATAAGAGTGGATCACTAGCCTGGAGCAGGCCACCCAACCCCCTGCCACACACCAGAAGAGTAATGTTCCCCTTTTTGATCCTTTTCCGTGTTACAGGTAAGGTTTTCTGGGGTTGATTGGACTCATGATCTGGAGGGATTTCATCTGTCAGAGAAAGAATGCTTACATTATCAGCAGCATCTTGCCCAAAGACCCAGGGAGCACTCTCTGCTCCCTGAGTCAATTAGGACATTGAAAGGAAGAGGGCCCGGGCCCAGGTGAACCTGGATCTACCTGAGAGCATCAGGCCAAGACCCTGGGTCTATAGAGAAAAAGGCTGAGACCCTCTGCCCATTCATAGGCAGAGCCAGATGTAAAAATTCAGCTTGGAGCAGCATCCAAGAGGTGAGGTGAGGTTCTACCCCTGGGGGAATGCATTGGCTCTGAAACAAGCCCCTCCCCAGCTCCAGCATGTCTAGCTGCCTGTTGGCTGCCATCCAGAAATAACAGGGGTGGCACATCCTCTCTACCAGCCCTTGACACCTTGGAATGTGGTAAGTCCTGGCAGGGAGCCAGTGTGCATGCAGCTCTGCCGAAGCCTGGGAAGTGGGGTGTTTCTGGAAAGGCTGGCAGGAAGGTGGGCTGCAGAGGGCTTTTGGGACTCAGGTCCTGCCAGGGACCAGTTGGGCATGGTGACTGCAGGGAAGGCAGAGTGATTCAAGAAATGAATCAGCTGGGTGAGCTTTGGGACAGGGTCAGTTTAGCTCTGTGGGGGGGATGTGGCCTGGTAGTTCCATTCCAAGGCCCTGGTCCCATGCCATCCTTATGCTCACCTGGAAGAAGGTGAGATCTGGGGAGAGGAGGAAAGCTGGGGAGGGAAAGAATTCATTCAAGGCACTGGGAGCTGGAACTCTGGCCTTCTGAGGTGCTTCTCCCATACCTCACTCCAAGCTCCCCTACCAAGAGGGTGGTAGAGGGTGTGGCAGGGGCAGCAGATCTGCTGAATGTATGCTGGGCACCAACTTTCCTGCACCACACTGGGCAGACTTCTGAGCACAGGGTACCAGTCCCCTCGGCGGGGAGGAGAGGCCAGGGCTACCTCTGCTGCACAGCGATGATCACAGAGTCTTCAGATAAAGAGCTTCCCTTGAGCAGCCTGGATGCTGTTGATGGGAAAGGATCCTGGGCTAGGCTGGCAACTAAACTTGTCTGCAGGCCCACCTCTGGCCCTCCCTTTGGAGAGAATCCTCCAGGGCCATGTGGTTGCCTCCTGCCTCTCTGCCGGGCCTACTTCCTTGGCCATCTGAAACCACCTCTGCCAAACACATGCTTACTCTCTCGCTGTTCTTGTTCTCTCTCTCCTCCACTCTCGCTTCCTTCTCCCTTCCTACTTTCTATCTCTATCTCAATACCACAAGAACACAAGTTTAGTCAGCTAAAGCTTCAGCAGAGCTGGAAGGACCGCCCACGTCCCGAAGACCACCTCTCAGGAAGCATGAGGCCTGTACAGACTCCCGAGAGGATCTTGAGCCAAACAGAGAACGAAGTTAGTGAGCCTCAAATCCCTGCACCTCCCCTCTTGTTCCTTGTTCCTTGTTCCTGGCAGAGTCTCTGGGGCCCTACTTTCCCTCCTGGCGCAGGCGGATGTGTCATATTTATGGTGTCCCATTTCCTTCACCGAGATGTTATAGATCCCTTTTCATTCTGGTGTTCACATTTAATTCACTCCATAAGAATCAATAAAAACTTTAAAGAGAAAAAAAAAAAAAAAGGCAAAATCCAATTGCTGCTCATTTTCTTGATCCGACTGGCAGTCGGTATGTCACCTACACTCACTTGTGTCTGGCGAGCTCGGAGCGGGAGAGGAGTTTTCATCGTGCGAGCGGGCGCTGCGTTCCCTCTTCCATTGTCAGGGATGGGGCTCCAAACTTCAAGTGCTCAGCTCTGGATAAGGTGCCATCTGTCTGTCTTCCTTCCTCATTGATGTCTCTAGGGACCAGATTTTTCTTCCTAACTTTCTGGAGCAAAGCCATCATGCCCAGTAGGGCCTTGCGTGCGTGCTGAGCTCTGGCTCGGGTTCCTGGCTTGCAGTCCACCGCACCAGACCCACCCCCAATAGCTTCTCTTGTGCAAGGAACTACACCCACTTCCTCTCTGGGCAGCCTCTGTGCCTCAGGGCAGACCTGCTTTGTTCAGTATATGCAGCTTGAGCACGGTCGGTTTGCACTGGACTATTAACCTCAAGGTTGGCGGTTTGAACCTATCCATAGGCACCACAGAAGATTAGATCTGGTGATCTGCTTCTTGGCTATAATCTTTTACAGCTAAGCAAACCCTATGGAGCAGTTCTACTCTGTAACATATGAGGTCATCCTGAGTTGGAACTGACTTGATGACAACGGGTTTGGTTTTGACCTACCACTGCCACTTGCAGTTGATTCTGACTCATGGCAACCCCATGTGGTATGTCAGAATAAAACTGTGTTCCATGGGGTTTTCAACGGTTGGTATTTTGGAAGTGGATTGGCGGGCCTTTCTCCCCAGATGTTAACCATTTGTACCACCCAGAGACTTGAGCTTTAATCTAAAAGACCTGTTGCTACTGATTCGATTCTAACTCATGGCTACTCCATGTGTTACCGAGAACTGGTCCATAGGATTTTCTTGGCTCTAATCTTTACAGAATTGCACTGCCGGGCCTTTCTTCTGCAGTGCTGCTGAGTGGGTTCAAACCACCAACCTTTAAGTAGTAGTCAAGCCCAAATGGTTTGTGCTACCCAGGGATCTCTGCTTTAACCTAACCCCTGGAATCAGCTTGGGGCTCTCACTCTGAGCCCAGCCAGGTATTTGCAGGTGGCAGAGGGAAACAGGAACAGGTCAGCTCATCCCAGAGGTCTCTAGACCCCAGCGCTCAGGCTTTGTACCCTATTCTGCTTCTGGGCTCGTGCTAACAACCCATCCTCCTTTCTCTTTGGCTACTTACAGTGTGAGCGTGGTCTGAGAGGGCCTGCAGGGTTCTCTCTCTGCTTGTCTGCTGGTGGCTGGCTAGTCTGATGCACCCTTATATACCTCCCATCTTTGCTTTGGAGCCCATTGACCTTTGGCCACACTTTTGCAGGCTCTGGGTTGGGGAGCCTGGATTCTTGGTACTCATGGAAACAACTGTGGGCCCTGCTGTGGGCTTCTAGGGCTTTCCTGGAAGGCCTCCTTTGTGAGCAACAGCCAGGGTGTGGTGGCAGCCAGACCCCACCCAGAGTGCCCCATCCTCTCCTCTTAAAACCCAGCTGCCACTCAGAGGATCATTGCAACAAAAACCTTTTCTTTTTTGTTACTTAAATATATGATGCTGTTGAGCATCTCCAGGCCAACTCTTCAGTGATCAAATTCTCTGTCAGCCTGTCAGAGCGCTGTATTAGGAAGATAACTTCTCTTCAATCTTCTCCCTGAAGCCCCTCGCAAAAGAGGCTCAGGAGTGTGGCAGTGTTTCAATTGATTAATGAAAAAATGGCTGAGCCCAGACCCAGACCTGTGCAGCACTGGAAGCTGGAGGGAGCCAAGGAAGCATGTCAGGAATGGCTGTGTATAAGGCCCTCAATGTCTTCCTGGACACCTATCCAGGAACCATTTCATGGTAACTGGGTGATTTAAACAGTACATTTAAAAGATCTGAAGAGAAGGCAATGGCTGTGATCTGGAGTCAGATGGCTTGCTGCTGTTGGTGGCAGGTGCATATCTGTGTCTCGGACACCACCTGGGATGCTTGGTGGATATGTTCTAATTCACCCTCAGCAACATCACAAGGATGGTACTCTCCTTCCCTGTATTTTTCAGATAAGGAAACTGAGGTACAATGTAATAATAATCCATCTGTGACCCCACAGCAAGGCCTCTTCATATGAGAGTCAAGGTTGGAAGTGGCCAGGTATGGTGGGGAGTGAAGGCACTGCCAGGTTTGCAGAGAATGACACAGAGGAAGTAGGATGTCACAGGAGGCCACCTGTGTGGGGTGGGACTGGACCAGTGTGTTTGTTTCCTAGGGATGCTGTAATAAAATACCACAAACTGGGTGGATTGTAAGAACAGAGATGTGTTATCCCACAGTTCTGGAGGCTGGGAGTCCGAGATCAGGGTGTTGGCTGTGTTGATTTCTTCAGAGGTTTTGAGGGAGAAGCTGTTTCATGCCTTTCTCTCGCTTCTGGCAGCCCCTGGAATTCCTTGACTTGCAGTTGCAGCATCCCATGGAATCCTTCTCTGTCTCTCTGTCTTTTCTCTTTTGTAAGGACACCAGTCCTATAGGATTAAGACCTATGCTACTCCTGTATAAACTTATGTTAACCTAACTGGTAACATCTTCCAAGGCCCTATTTCCAAATAGGGTCACATTCATAGGGATTAGGACTTCAGCCTATCTTTTTGTGGAACACATTTCAATTCATCAAAGAGGCAGTGGTAGAATTCTTGCCTCTTCTGTGGGAAATCTGTGTTCTATTCCAGGCCAAAGCACCCCGTGCACAGCTACCACTCATCTGTCAGTGTGGTTATGATACCAAACAGGTTTCAGCAGAACTTCCAGGCTAAGACACACTAGGAAGAAAGGCCTGGTGATATACTTCCAAAAATCAGCCAATGAAACCCTGTGGATCACAATGGTCCGATCCACAGCTGATCATGAGGATGGCTCAGGTTTCATTCTGCTGTGTGTAGCGTTGTCAAGAGTCAGGTTGTCAACAGCAGCTAATAACCAACAATTCAATCCATGATAGTCTGTGGCCTAAGTAAAGGGGACTTTAGAAACCAAGCAAAAGCGTTAGATTTG